AATGGTCACAGTAGTACATTGGAGACCGCATAAAATCCAAGTGCGTATAACTTAGAAAAACGGAGGATTACTACCTCTGTTTCATATTATGTAAAACAAATGAGCTTGCAGAAACTCTTAGGCAAAATTTGTTTGTGAGTGTTGAATGGAGAGAGAAAGATAAAGATGTATGTGATGAGAAGAGAGATAGAGACAAATGACAATTTAAAAAATGATAGAAAATAGTTGTTGTACATATTGTGTAGCAACCATATTTGATGAATGTTGCACATAATACGAAACAAAGGTAGTAATCATTTTTGTTTATTGAGAATTACCAATATTGATGGTTAAAGTTATGCGTTGACAATCGTGCTAAATGAAATAGGTAAAAATAAAAGGACAAAATATTTGTTTTAGAATGGATTTGGAAATTAGAGAGAAATGCCGAAATGGAGGGAGTTGAAGGTAAATAATATATTTTTCTTTGTGCGAATATGAAATTTTTGAAGGGAAATGAAAGGATTTCTTTTCTTTACCCCTCTTAGTGAATTATATATTTCCAATGTTGGAAAATACTATAATCTTAAGGGAGCGATAGTTTTTTTTTTTTTTTTTTTTTTTTTTTTTTTCAATACAATAATTACTATTTAATAAAGTACAGGAAGTTGAACAATTTTGCTCTTTCTGTGCCTCCCAAATTTTGATCTATCTTATGTTGTTTCAGAAGTCACCGTATCATGTATGCATAATTGGTACTTTGCCTTTCAGATTTGCACCCCCCCCCCCCCTTTCCATGCTGATAGATATTTTCACTGAGGCCATATTTTATGTTAACTCTGGGAACTTGAACTTTTCACCTCCCTTTCTTGTTTGGGTAAAGTCACCCTATAAAGAACTTCACAAACCTTCTAAATTTGCTATTCTTAAGCTGCCCCCTCTGATCCCCTTCTAATTCACGATGGAACCACCAAATATATAACAAAATATCCCTGCTGCTTCGACTAGTGCTCTCATGTTTGACATGAGTACGTGTCCAAGTGTCCAACTCAACTATGGTGTGATTAATTTTCTTGATTTTGGCCCAGAATTAAGGGTTGGAATGTCCTACTCATGTTTGAGTCAAGTACTAAGGTAATATGTAGAGTCCTAACCTAGGAAAAAATTATTATTATATTGTGATCATGAGTGTGTTCATAAAGATTTTGATTCCAAAATCTCAAATATGTTGCAACACACTTCTATCCAAGGTCTTTATGCCACCTTATTTCATTTTGTCTCTTTTTCTGCTGATAAACCATTCTATATCGATTAAGCACTGCGCATGACATAACATTTGCTAAAACTTGCCAGCTTATTCTCTTCTACTTGTAGGGAATGGTAAAATTCATGACACCTTCACATTACCAGTTCCGATTTATATTGTCACCCATGCATCTCAACTTCCCAAGGAGCTTTTGCATCCGTCTCCTGATAGGCAGTTGGTTATTGGATTCGATTGTGAAGGTGTAAATCTCTCGCATCATGGAGCTCTTTGCATTATACAGGTTCTCTTTGTCATTCATTTTTCAAAATTTAAAGTATAAGCTTTATCAAGTTCCTTGAAAAACTTTTTTTGTGATATAGAATTTGTATCTGTTTTATGCAGAGCTAATCTTTAAGTACTGTACATGATTCTAGAAACATTCTATTCCAATACGATTTAGGCTTGCCATTCTTGCTAATCGCATTAAATTATTAAGGGAGTAATCACTGGATAAATCTTGCAGTGATTGAATCATACTGCATGATTCAACCAAATTGGAGTTCCTTTTTTTTTTTTTTTTTTTTTTTTTATACAGTGATTGGATAGCTTTATTTGGTAAATATGATTACAAAACTAATGGTTCCATGGTATTTAGCTTCCTGTGCCAGCTGATGTTCAGGTAAAATTAACTAAATACTATCAATTTTTACCTTCCAGATTGCCACATCAAACGCCATATATATTGTGGATGTTACCGTAGGAGGCAAGGAGCTAATAAATGCTTGTAAACCAGCTATTGAGTCTGCCTATGTCACCAAAGTTATTCATGATTGCAAACGAGACAGTGAGGTCCCAAAACTTGATTTACAGATTAGATGTCTCGTTACTGCTAGTCATTATGTCTCTCAGCTGACTAACTTTTATCCTTGCCTTGCAGGCATTATATCATCAGTTTGGCATCAAGCTATATAATGTAGTGGATACACAGGTCAGTGTCAAGTAATTCTATCTTCAACATAATGTATTACAGACAAATCTTATTAAGGTTATTATACTTATCACTAACCCTTTTGAGGCCTTTTCTTTTCTTAATTACGGATATAAGTTCCTTGGATATCTAAGTCTATAGTTGGTTAGTCCACAGCCTTACACTGCATGCATGGTTATAATTATCGTTGTTAGTTTTGATTTTAAGATATTTGATATAGCTTGATCAGATCCAAGTTTAGGTACTTTGTTGTTCGACATTTAAATTTTTTTAAAAAAAATCTTGTTTCATAGCACACAACTAGAAATTAAATGCCTGTCTCTGTCGTTGATTTCTACTTTTTTAGAGTACCTGTCAAAAAGGATTTATAGAAGAGTAGAGGGTTGGAGGGTCAACTATCTTCTAATTATTTTTAAATTTCTTTGTGTTTATCATCTGTCTATCTACCTACATTAGCATACTCATATTTATCTTTTAGTTAAACAATGCATGTTGGATTCTGTCGTCAATGAAGATCTTGTTGCTTTGAGCTGATCAACTTGTAATCTGAGGTGTTTATGGTGTTTTGATTAGTAGACTATTGTTCTTTAATACATCTGATTCTGCTCCGCACAGATTGCATATGCCCTTGTTCAAGAACAAGAAGGTTTGGCACAACCGTTAGATGATTGCATTTCCTTCATTGGCCTGCTTGCTGATCATCGCTTTTGTGGTAAGGCTAAGAAATGTAATTTGATCATTGCTTTAAATTATATCAAATGCCTTTCTTCTTTAATATTAAGGCCCTGTTCTTTTGGACTAATTTTTCTAAATTTTAGCTCCATTCTGCTCTTTTAAGTTCATTTTAGTTCATCTCTATTAAGCTCAGTTCATTTTACTATTTTAGTTCAGCTCCGCTCAGCTCCATTCAGTTTCTGTAATATAGTGATTGAGGGGTTAATACCTCACGTGCTAGAGTGGCACCATTCTCTTATCTTTATGTTTAATTTACATGAAAAAAAGAACTTTTAGGAGTAACAATGAGAGGAATTAGGAATATATTTTAAGGACCACCTAAGGAACTGACCTCCAAAGTTTAAGATGTGGATAAGGTTGCATGTATACTGCTTGGCATTTGGAATTAATGCAATTAGAAATTTTTAAGCCTGAATAATACTCAAAGCCTAGAAATAAAGCATGTCAAAGGGATTTAAAAATGATGAGGTTGCATATATGGTGCTTGGCATTTGTAATTAATGCAATTAGAAAATTTTAAGCCTGGAATAAAGTATGCCAAACAACAACAACAACCATAATAATTTGAGGTCGGCTAACATGAATCGTTATAAGGAACCAACCTTGTATAGAACAGGAATGTCATCTTATAAAAAATATTAATGAAGGCACCTTGCAGGCTTGCAATGAGAAGGTATTAATGTATCTAATTTCTATGCTTATTGCTTCAAATAGAACAAAATTTCTGCTACTTGAATAAAAATATAGAATTTTTTGTGTGAGGTGTAAATTGTCCTAGGTTATGAGGTCTTTTGATATGTGGGATCTACTATCCAAAAGGATACAGAAGTGGATGGAGATGTAGCTCATCGGATCAAACCGCGTTAGTTAAAGTGGAAGAGGCTTGTTATATGGTACAAAATGTAAGGCCGTAAAGCATCGCCATGTGCATAAGATGAATGTAGCGGAGAGGCGTATGTTGCAATGGATGTCAGGCCATTCAAGAAAGGATCAGTTGAAAAATAAGATAATTATGAAGAAAGTATGGGTTATGTCGATCGAGTACAAGATGAGGGAGAATTGCTTAAGATGGTTTGGCCATGTAAGAAGGAGACAAAGTGACTCTCTGGTAAGGTGGCTTGGAGAATTGCAAGTGTTGGGATTGTAACAGGTAGGGGAGGACCTAAGAAAACTTGGAAGAGGGTGATTGAGAGTGAAATGAGTACATTGGGGGGATTGAGGAAAATATGGCGTTGGATAGGGCGGTGTGGAGTTAGAAAATTCACGTCAACGAAGTGTCATGATTATATATATACCTTTTAAATTTATCTTAGTACTTACTTTTATAATTTTACCCCATTAGTGTTCTATGAACTATATTGATTTCCTTTGCTAAAGTTTACTCAATCCTTTATATTATTTATATTAAACGTTTTAACTACCCTTTAAAACTTTCTTGAATTTTATTTTTTTGTTCTCTTTTAAACTCTCTTTATTTTTCTTAGATGCTCTTTCTGTTTCTCACTTTACTCACCTTTTTTCAAAGTCTTTCAACTGCTTAACTTGCTATGTCCCTTTTTTATATTGGAAGGTTCCTTAGGACAATTCATGTTAGCCGACCCCAAATCATTTTGGGACTAAGGCTTTGTTGTTGTTGTTGTATAGTGAGGTGTTTGGATTAAATTGCTATCTAATGCGGTCAAAGCTTTCAACTCAAATTTAGTTTATTTGGCATATCTAAGTAGAAAAGTATACCATTTTAAAACTTTGACTTCCAATATGCTGCAAGTAAACATTTAGTCACACTAGTTGCTTCACTTCTGGATTTAGTCATTTTTGCTCCTTTTCCTTTTAACTTGTTCTTGTAAATTTATATTATATCTCTGCAGAATATAATGGTGAACATGTTTTTGTGCTTGGCAAGACAATGTTATGAAAGGTTGGTCTCATAATGTGTCAGTTTTGTTTATTTGTGCTTGATCTTTGTACTTAATCGCAGGGATATCTTATCTGGAAAAGAAAGAAATACGCACCCTCCTAATACAGGTCAGTATTAGGTAGGAGTTGGTTTTATACTGCTGTTGTTCATGTGGAAGGATTATCATTACTCTATGTTTTGATAATTAGGGGAAAAAGAGAGGTGAAGAATAAAGAGGTAAGAAAATTGGAGGTTAGGGAATGGAAGGGAAAGAGTGAGCTTCCATTTTCCTTCCAAATCTCTCCAACAATGGAGGGATTTAGTTTATTAAAATGGGAACTAAAATGGATCCCTGCATTTCCTTTCATTCCCTTCCCTTGCTTAAAATAAGGTAAAATGTATCCCTCACTTTTCTTTCTTCTCTTTCCCTTGTATCTTCCTTTCAAACATGGTGTTAATGTTCTTAGAACTCATGAAGTCATGAGCTCATGGCAAGAAGATTTTTGCTTGCTTGAACTTTCTGGTGTCTAGAGTGGGGGTTAATTATTAAAATCATAGTAAGAGTGATATTTGACAATGGAATCTCTAATTATGTCATGAACAATTGACTAAAAGTTGAACATGAACTGAAATAACTAAATGCCTGTCAGTGTCCATTGTGAAGTTCTTGTGACGTATTGGAAACTATAGCAGCTATGAAGCTCATTTTTTGTACGTTATAGCTTGCCAGCTTCTTAGTTGTAATTCTTCTGAATCGCCTTGTTTTACATTATAGCTGTTTATGTGAATGAGCTTCATAGAAAATTGAGATGTTCTGGACTGGCTTGTGCAGGATCCCATGTACTGGACGTACAGGCCCTTTACAGAACAGATGATTAATTCTGCTGTAGATGATGTTCGCTTCCTTCTCTATGTATACCATATGATAATGGAGCAACTGAATGAACAATCCCTGTGGAAACTTGCAGTTCGAGGTGTATTACACTGTCGCTGTTTCTGCATTGTCAACAATAGATATGCAGATTGGCCATCTATCCCTTCTGTTGCAGGTTTGCTCTAGACTCGTACTATTGACATACTTAGTGATCTATAAACTGTTTGAATATCAAATTCATAATTTGTACAAATTTTCAAAAACTTGATTTGTGTATCTGTCCATGATTTTTGGGCATCAAGACATATGCTACTAGTAAACCATAATTGTGGCTTTTAACTTATTGAAGTATCTGATTACAAGCTCCTATATCCACCATAATATCCTACTGCCAGCTCACCAAAGTTAGATATAACTAACTTTTCTTCTGGATTCTTCTCTGTAACAAACTCCTGAGTTTGTTATATTCTCTCAGCATGCTTTTGTCATGTAATATACTATATAAATTGTAATAGTTTCTTTTTTTCCAGCTTGTAATTCATTTTCTAACTTTTCACACAAGAAATCAAAACAAGCTCTCTCTTCTTCTCTCTATTCTCTGTAATTTTCTGAGTTTTCTGAAGGAATTTAACATGGTATCAGAGCAATCGATCGATTGATGATTCGCTGCAAATCTGGTTTGATTTCTCTTCTTTCAGATTTTGTTTCTCATCTTCCTTATTTAGGTTTTCAATTTTTCTGGTGATTGATTTTTCAATTTGATTACTAGTTCTGGATTTCAATTTTTCTGGCGATGTTTTTCAATTATGGCTGCAAATTCTGGAAATGTTCATTCTCTGAATTCAAATCCTGCTAGTGTATATTTCTTACATCCTTCTGAAAATCCTTCGAATCCTCTTGTTTCTATTAAATTCAATGGTGATAGCTATAATGAATGGCAGAGAGGCATGATAATTGCTTTTGCTGCTAAGAATAAACTCGGTTTCATTGATGGAACCTTACCTAGACCTTCTGATTTGCTTGAATCTCAAGCTTGGGATAGATGTAATGCAATGATTATTGCTTACATTCTGAATTCTCTTGATTCTGGTATTGCTAGAAGTGTTCTTTATTTTAGTACTGCTAGAGAAATCTGGAAAGATCTTGAGGATCGTTATTCACAGAGTTAGGTGCTCAATTATATTCACTACAACAGACCTTGAGTGATTTGTCACAAGGTTCAAGTAGTGTAGCTGAATTTTTCACTGAAATTAAAGCTGTTTGGGATCAGATTTCTGGTATCAATCCTGTTCCTGTATGTTCATGCAACAATTGTACTTGCAATTTAACTCAAAAGTTTCTGAAACAACAGCAAGAGGAGAGGTTAATTCAGCTATTGATGAAGTTGGATGGTAAATATACTAATGTCAGGACAAATATCTTAATGATGCAGCCATTACCGAAGCAAAGGCAAGTAAGTTTGTTATCAGACACTCAGAATTTTGCAAACAACATGGCTTTTGCAGTGGATAATAGAAGACCTAATTCTTATCAGAATAATAGTTCAGCTTCTTTTAGACCACAGAATTTTAACACATGGAATCGGTTTTCTCAATCTTCTCAGACTGGTTCTAATAATTCTGGTTTTGGTAGAGGTGCACCTGTCAGAAAATTCTCTACATTATTCTGTGAATATTGCAAAATGTCTGGTCATACGGTTGAAATATGCTACAAAGTTCATGGTTATCCACCTAATAATGCTGCTTATAAAGGCAAAGGAAGAAGGATAGCTGCTATTGTGTATAGTGATGAAGCTGATGATGGTTCTGAGAAGCCTATTGAAACAGCTCATATCTCTTCTAAGGATTACAGCAGAATGATGCAAGTGATGCATACTCAAGGAGATTTTCAGAATACTGCTCCTGCTGAATCTGTGAATGCACAGAATCTTGTGCATTCAACATACAGTTCAGCTCACATGGCAGGTACATGTCTGCTTTCTTGCTCTAATTCTAAGTGGATTATTGATTCAGGGGCTATGGATCATATTTGCTGCAATATTGATTTGTTTACTTCTTATGATAAATTCACTAAAATGCCAAACACTATCACAGTTGCTAATGGTAAACAAGTGAATATTTAACATGTTGGTACTGTCAGATTTCATAATGGCATAGAGCTGCAAAATGTATTACATGTTCCAGACTTTACTTTTAATCTGATTAGTACACACAAGTTGTGTAAAGATCTGAATTGTGAGATAAAATTTACTCATGATACTTGCTTGGTTCAGGATCTTTCTCAGAACAGTATTCTGGTTCTTGGTAAACTGTTGGAAATGAGCATAAGAGTTTGCAGATTGCTCAAGGTTCTGTAGCTGACACTGTTCAGTCTGATAATAAATCTGAAGAAGCAAAACTGTGGCATCTCAGATTAGGTCATCTACCCTTCAATAAAATCCATCATGTACTTAGCAATGTGTCTAGTTGTTCTGGTCATGACACAATTTGTCAGATTTGTCCTAAGGCAAAGCAAACTAGGATTCCTTTCCCCATCAGTCATTCTAAGTCTTTGCACTGCTTTGATTTGTTGCATATAGATACTTGGGGTCCTTATAAGGCTTATACACATGATGGTTGTAATCTATTTCTCACAATAGTTGATGACTTTTCTAGACACACTTGGACATTTCTCATGAAGTCCAAGTCTACAGCTATATCTGTACTTGAGAATTTTGCAATAATGATACATAATCATTTTGGTGCTTCTATTAAGTGCATAAGGTCTGACAATGCTAAAGAATTATGTGAAGGTCCTATTTTACAGTTTTATAATAAGTTTGGGATTGTTCACCAAAGAAGTTGTGCAGACACACCACAACAAAATGGTGTGGTAGAGAGAAAACATAGACACCTTTTGGAAACTGCCAGAGCTCTTTATTTTCAGTCTAATGTTCCTATTTTTCTTTGGGGAGAATGTTTGCTATGTGCTACTCATTTAATCAACAGAATGCCCCTGAGTTCCATTGCTTTTAGCACCCCTTTTGAGCTTCTTTTTGGAACTAAACCCAACTTGAATCATTTGAGAATATTTGGATGTCTTTGTTATGCTTCTACCTTGAAAAGTAACAGAAGCAAGTTTGATTCAAGAGCTGCTCCTTGCATATTTCTTGGTTATCCACCCAATCAGAAAGCATATAAGTTGATGTGTTTAGACACTAATAAAATAATCATAAGCAGAGATGTTTATTTTCATGAAAAACATTTTCCCTACCATTTTTCTTCTACTCCTAAACAACACCTTATTTTCTTACCAATTACCACTCCTCACAACCCTGATCCTGTTCAACCTATTCCTGAACCCTTTCTTTTCTCATCAGATTCAGATAATGACTCTGATGCTCATTCTATCCCACATATTCCCCCTATACCTTCATCTTCTCCTTCTCCCATATCACCTACTCCAACCTCTGCATTTTTACAACCTGTTAGACACAGACCTGTTAAACCACCTATCTGGCACAAAGATTATATCACTGTTGCTTCAGTCACTGTCATTGGTGCAATCTTGTTCAGTATTCTGATCTTCCTTCCTCTACTCAAGCTTTTATCACCAAAACAGCATTAATTACAGAACCAGCAAGTTTTCTTGAGGCTTCTCAACATCAGGGGTGGATTGATGCTATGCAAAGAGAAATTGAAGCTTTGGAGAAAAATGGAACATGGGATCTTTGTGTTCTTCCTAAGGGGAAGAAAGCTATAGGCTGCAAATGGGTTTTTAAGGTGAAACTCAAAGCTGATGGATCTATTGAGAGATTAAAAGCAAGATTAGTAGCCAAAGGTTATACTCAGATTTTTGGGGTGGACTTTGATGAAACTTTTTCACCTGTGGTGAAGATGACTACAATTAGATGTCTTTTGGCCTTGGCAGCTTCTAAGGGTTGGTTTTTGCATCAACTTGATATCAACAATGCATTCCTTCATGGAGAGTTAACTGAAGATATCTATATGAAGATGCCAGAGGGACTGTCTAATCCTAACAACCTTGTCTGCAAATTAAAGAAATCTCTATATGGATTAAAACAGGCATCTAGACAGTGGTTTGCTAGGCTCACTGCTGAGTTGCAATCTCAGGGTTATACTCAATCCTTGAATGATTACTCTCTCTTTCTGAGGCAAGATCAGTCTCATATCATCATTGTTGTTGTGTATGTTGATGATATTATAATCACTGGCACTGATTCTGATGCTATTCATGCCTTGAAGAATCATTTGCATCTTGTTTTCAGCATCAAGGATCTTGGTAGACTTCATTATTTTGTGGGGATTGAAGTTACTTATTTGTCTCAAGGCATTGTTCTCACACAAAGGAAGTTCTCCAAAGAACTCATTGCTGATTCTGGTTTTGATGTTTCTAGAATTGCAAAAACACCTTTGCTACAAAATCTGAAGCTGGCTCATGATAGGGTGTTTTGTCCTGATCCTTCTCTTTACAGACAGTTAGTGGGGAAGCTAAATTTTTTGACTCACACTAGGCCTGACTTGTCCTATGCTGTGCAGACTTTGAGTCAATTCATGCAACAACCAAGAATGCCTCATCAAGCTGCCTGCATCATGTTCTCAGATATGTGGCTCACACTTTGGGTCAAGGGATTTTAATGCAAGCTCATAATGAGCTCACTCTCATAGCCTTTTCTGACTCTGATTGGGCTTCATGTGTGTCTACCAGACGATCTATAACTGGCTATGTCATGCTTTTAGGCAAGTCTGCTGTTTCTTGGAAGTCTAAAAAGCAGGGTACAACTTCTAAATCTTCTTCTGAGGCAGAATACAGGGCAATGGCTGCAGCTGCTTATGAAGTCACTTGGCTTGTCAGGTTGTTACAAGAACTTGGAATAGATAATTTGAAGCCTGTGAAGCTTTGTTGTGATAATCAATCAGCTATTCAGATTGGCAAGAATCTAGTTCAACATGAACGCACTAAACATAATGAACTGGACTGTCATTTCACCAGGGATAAGGTGCTAGAAGGCTTATTGGAGCTTACTTATTTACCTTCTGCAGAACAACCAGCTGATTTGTTTACAAAGGCTCTTCCCAACCAGCAACATCTTTATCTGTGTTCCAAGCTAGGTATGCTTGACACCACCCCTAGCTTGCGGGGGGGTATTGAAGTATCTGATTACAAGCTCCTATATCCACCATAATATCCTACTGCCAGCTCACCAAAGTTAGATATAACTAACTTTTCTTCTGGATTATTCTCTGTAACAAACTCCTGAGTTTGTTATATTCTCTCAGCATGCTTTTGTCATGTAATATACTATATAAATTGTAATAGTTTCTTTTTTTCCAGCTTGTAATTCATTTTCTAACTTTTCACACAAGAAATCAAAACAAGCTCTCTCTTCTTCTCTCTATTCTCTGTAATTTTCTGAGTTTTCTGAAGGAATTTAACATAACTGAAGTATATGGATCAATACAGCTGTGAACAACTCATAATATAAGCTCAGTCAAATGTCATTCATGTAGTAAATGAATGGCCTAAACATGTTTTGAGGACTGTTCATTTGTTCAACAGAAGACTAGCCAAGCTTTAAATGTTATGTTTGGGTCATCTATATGTAATTTACATGTAATAATCTACATTTTTTAATGCAAGTGTCTGTTGTCTAATTACTCAATTGGTTATTGGTATAATCCGGTTATAACATAAACTTAATGAGGCATGACTAATCATTTTTTACCTCTATGTTGTCAGTGTTTTCTATTGAATATCTCTTGACTACACTCTATCCAATGTCATCTTCGATCGTAGTCAATTCCATCACATAACATCCCCTTAAGCCTGGACCACCACAGTTAAAACATGAAAATAGGATGGAAACTATACTTGTCTTAAGAGTACATGCAGCAGCTGAGAGTCCTGAGACATTAGTTAACCCACAACCTACTTGAGGCTTATCAGAAACTATTTGGAAAAATAAGAGCTGGACTTCTTAAGCTTCCTGAGAATAAAGAAGTGAAGTCTTAGGAAATGAGTTAAATGTCAAATGGGACCTTGAGCCATTGCTTAACTAAAGCTGTATGGGGCTACTCTCGAGGCCTGATTCACAACTGCAGATCTTCTTTAGCATCTCCACCTGCTACTGAGTGATTATTGGGCTAGGAAATTTCTCTTTCCCTTTTTCTTTTCTTTTTAATTTTTGTAGAGCCAGTGGTCCCATAAAATTAGGTCTTACTGTTGTGAATTAACTCATTACAGATGATATATTGTAGAATTATTAACCAACTGTACCCTTACTTTTGCTGTACTGATATGTGTTCTCAGATCAGTCTCAATAGTGAGATTAGAAGTCTCCTATATTTACATTTTCGTATTTGCTGCCTCCTTGACAGTTTGTAACTTTGTATTGACGGCTTTGGAGAAGGGGGGACTAAGGGAGACAGGCATCTACTTTTCATTCTTTGAATAGTAACCGGATTGAGATAGAGCTATTCCTTGGCCTCTTCAGACTGATATATGTGGGGGTTCTTGCATTTATATGAGTATATTGTGGTATTTTCCCTTTAGTTGGAAGATTCCTGGGAGTAGTCCAGGTCATTGTGAAATGTCACTTTCTTCTTTGATGTGATTTCTTTCCTCGAAAAGAAATGTGTATTGGTTCTTTGGTTGGATTGAACTGACTTTGCTTGATTCCACTAGTTGTTTTCCCCTTGGTAAAATTTTAATGAGCTTCAAATTCTAAGAAATCTAATATGACAAATTCAGTCTCACTTAAATTCCATTTCTTGTCAGGTGACTTTTTTCCAAGTGGAAAAGTTCCTGAGCAGGAGATACTATCTGTGATTGATGTTCCATCCGGGAAAATGGGATGCATTATTGGAAAAAAGGGAGCTACAATCCAGTTCATAAAAGAATCGTGCAAGTATAATCCTTCTCTTTTATGAATTCCATGCTTTCACTGAAATCTTTCTTTTTCTTTCTTTTTTGTCTCTTTACTTTTTTCATTCTAAACGCTCCTTCATGTATTGCTTGCAATGCAGAAATTTTCATTGGAGGTGACAGAGGTCCTTCTGACAAAGTAAGCTTCAGTATTAATCTTCTCTCATGTTCTACATTTATAATTTTGTCTGCAAGTATATGCAAAATTCTTTTGTGTGTGCTCACAACAGTCTACTAGTCTAAGATTTATACAACTATCATGGATTGACAAATTACAAACATTCCACTTTGTTGTTTTACAAGTTGAAATACCTTTTTGAGCCCTATGTAGTTCTTTTGCAATGTTATAGAGTTTGAATTACAGATGATTATAGTGGTTAGTGAATCTTTGTGATTGTTATGGTCAGCTTGTAGTGTTGAAGTGCCATATCTGATCCAAGGCAATTGTGGTTGTCACAAACTCACAACATAATACATCTTCATGCTTTTAGCATGTTCAATAGCTTTTTTTTTAAAAAAAATAAATAAATAAATAAAAAATGTAACAGTTCTTGTAAAAGGGAAGCCAGGTGGCTTTCTCATGGTAAGGTCATATGGTTTTAGAACTTTTATCAAGATCTTAACTTGATCGAATACTCTCATACAACATAGGATATCGGAACACTACTTTTTTCTTTCTTTTTTTTTTTTTTTTTTTGAGGAAAGAACGCTACTTTTCTTGGTAAACGTTTTACTCGTACCCAAATGCTGTCTAAGAGAAACGGTTGCACCTAACATTCACCTCTGCAAATTAAATGGATAGTGAGCCACAAATATTGAATATTGTTGGCAATGCAAGCTTTAGGGCTCAAGGCTCCTAAAATATGATGTACATCTCATTGTATATTTAAACTTTTAAAGATTAGTCTGTATATTTCTTGAATAACTGTATATTGATGCTGTTGATTTGTGTTGTAGTTGGGACTAGACTAGACTTAATTTGGCCTGTTAAATCTAGTTGAGGAACAATGTACTGGCATCTGTATCACAATAATGTGAAGATCTAGCCTAATTTATAATTGTATAATGCTGACCTCTCACTTGTAAGGATGACAATGTTGGGAATTCCTGATGCCGATGAGGCTCTGTCTAGTACTATACCCCCTCTTCCCTCTCCATTACCTTTGTGCTAGAGTTTTTTTTTGTTGATTTTAATGATATCAAGGTGGTTTTTGACCCCTTGTATCTCTGCATAAAATTATTTTGAAGTTTAAAAGTAATGTACTGTACCAAAAGAAACAATTTAACTCAGGAATGCTTTCCGAAGGAAATATAGGGAACTGATGGTTTATAACGGTAAGCCTGGTCAAAGTTGGCGGAGTTGGACTATAAGAGGGCTAAAGTGTATTCTGAGCTAAAAGTATCAACACTCTGCAGGTCATGGCACATCAATAAGCGCCTAACAATAGGAGTCATTAGAAATGTACTATAAGTGATGTAAGACCCATCTTAACACCAAAGCTTTAACTATTCAATTGGGAATGTAGCTGCTTATTATGCATAACTCGTCCCATATTTTACTAGTATTGGGCACTTCTTATTAATTTAGAGGTGAAAACTATATGATCTCCGTATTCTGAGAAATAAGTCATACAACTTGTTGTCGTTCCTCTAACATCCCAACAGTTTTTTGTTCTTTCTAATTATGTTCCATCGTGAATACAAACGTCAGACTCAGGTATGTGTCCTAGAGTATTGACATGGGAAATTCCTATTTAAAGATGCAGAAACTCTGTATGAGTGCTTGGGATTCATAACGTGTCCAAGGTTACTCTCCTTATATGAAATACATGTGTGAAGCATTCTGTTTGTTGTTATTTTGCTTGAATATGTCGTCCCAAGTTGATAGCGTATTTAGCTTTCTGTGAAAACCTTGCACTTTGGCTAGAATGTAAGAGTTCATGTATCCATACCCATACCCCTTCTTGTAGTGGATACTTGAGCTAAATATAATTGTTGTGAAACGTTGTGGCCTTTGGGAGTCAATGTTATACAAAAAACATGAAATTATTGTTGTTTTGGTGTTAATCTGATCTCAAATATATGTATGCAGGTCTTCATCATAGGACCAACAAGACAAGTGAGGAAGGCCGAAGCCATGCTAAGAGGTAGGATGTGTGGCTGACCAGTTTTCAAGCTGGTGCATTCACTAATATTGCAGTATCTATCACTAACTTGCAAATCCCTCCTAATTGACGCTTTACATAGGCTGTAGCACATAACTGATCCATGATTATGAAAAAATGTAAGAAAGAAAATAAAAGATGATTATTATCTAAAAGAGTTCCAAAATGCTAGGAGTATTAATGAACGGTAGATTGTGATATTTAGGCTTAGATCCTAACATTTAAATCCTGAACTTATTGCAAGTATTCTGAAACTTGTAGACATTAAAGAAAATTGTAGAGAAGAGATATAAGTCAACTTGCTTCAATGAGCCATGATCAGCCAGCATAGAGCTGGAAATCATCAGCTCATTTCTTATCCTATTCATGCTAAAAGTTATATGTTTGCATTCCAATGTGGATGACATTTATTCATGACAATTTAAGAGGTATGTTTTTGATTAAAAGCGTAGATTGTTCAAGAAATTATTGATATACGACATATAATTCGATGCCTGCTATTGCACCAGTGTATGTGGTGTGGAAAAGAATACATGCGACTTCAGCTTCGTTCTTTTCACCTAAACTTATTAACCCTTTGATGAACTTCACAATGAAAAGAGCAAGGTGCATAGCTAAATAAAACGATAAAATTTGAATATCCAAAATTATTGAGATTGGTTTGTATATATTGTGACATGATTGGCCAATTGGTCGGCTATTTTTTTATACATAACAATATTGGTGTTTTGTATTGTCTTGGACATCAGGTTAGTGTTGTTTTCGTTCTTGTCATATGATGGTGTGTTGAGCTTAGATGCACCATACACGTAAGGATGTGGTTACAAGATTGTAAATGAGTGTTGTTTTCGTTCTTGTCACAACTCACAATATGGTTTTTTGGTGTGCTTGGAAACGAGACTCAAAGGCTGGACCATCAAAGGGCAGATCTACTTACCAAAATAATAATGAGGTGTCTTGGTCTGGCAAATTTGTTTCCCTAAATTTTTACTAGTATAAACTACTATAAAATTGACAAATTGTAAAGATTTTTTGGGTGCAAATGTAGTAAATTAGATTAGATTTCAATTCTTGATTAACTTGTCTCAAACCTTTACCCTCTAAAACAGATTTTCATATTACAGAATATTTCATCCATTCTATTTTACTTGTAACAGTTTGACTTTTACGTTTGTCAATTCATTATTTCAACTTGATTAATATTATATATTATACAAAGTTGATATTATTAAAAATATGCATTGAGTTAAATATTACAAGATTTCACTTTACTATTTTTTTTTACAGTACATACCAATCACAAGGTTCACAACTAAATATGATCAAATAGAAAATGTGCATTGTTACAAAGTGTTAAACTATTGCAAATAAAATTAAACCGAAAAATTATTAGATAGAGTGGAAATGAATAAGTACAAGTTTTATTCATAATTCCCCACTAATTCGTCTCTAAAGAGTAGGATCAAGTAAAGAGAAAGTAGGAATTCACCGCTGTAACAGTTTACTTTTACATTATTTATACATTGACTTTGACTATATTTTCTTACTTAAAAGCAAATTTATTGCTTTAACAATTGTAACAATCACAATGTACATTTTTTCAACATCAAAATTGCATATATTATGCCACTCTGCTAGTTAAATTGCTACAATTATTCAGAAACAGAGGGAGTAAATAGTTGTCGGGATTTGACGGTTACAAAAATTGCGTCCTAGATGGCATCTGCGGACCATGTCAGCAATGGTCGGCAGGAAGACCACACGGATACAGGTTGGAACTACTAGTACTTAAATTTGGTGGTGGGGAAGTAACGAATCAGTCTGCCAAGAGATAAACTGTGGCCTTGTGTAGGGATCCAATTCCCTTGTCTTGTGTGTAAAATTTTGATGGTGACAAGTACGTACCATTATTGTACATGGAACTTAAACCAAAAACCTCGCATCCACTCACTCTACTACTCTTAGATACATCACTTTCACCAGCTCTTCTATCTTCATTTACACCCTCCCATCCCGTTTCTTTATACCCCGTTTCTTGTACCGTTGGGCCTCAACATCGCCTTTGCCGGTTGCTCCTCTTTTGTCCTACTCGGAAAATGATGATTTGGATTGTGTATTTAAAGTTTATAGTCGATATGGTGTATGTGGATAGGGAAGGTAACCGTGTAGCAGATTTGTTTGTCAATGACAAATCATGGTGTTGTTTAAGAAAATAAAGTACATACATGGTGTTGTTTGAGAAAATAAAGTTTATACACTATGTACTTTGTATTAGAGGATGTCCCATTAGATACTATAGAATTCTAGATGAGGATATTAAATTAGAGATGTGGATTTTGTCATGACTATTGATTAGTTCTCCCTTAGATTATTGGTTTGTCTTAGTTTCTTTTATTTTAATTAGACGAGAATAGATATGAGTTCATATGACAATTTTCATCATATTCCTTTAAACCTCTAATGAGTTTTAGTTCATATATAGGAGCAATCGATATTTTTTTTTGTTCTAATACAAAGAAGCAATCGATTTTTATAACCTAGGTAAAAAAGGTTGGGCAATTGCTTATACTCGCTCTTTATAGTTTAAATTTTGGTATTCAGTTTTACAAGGTCGAGTTACCTACTTTAGATTTATTTTCCATTGACTGAAGAACTAAGTGCTATGTTTGGTTAGGCGTAAAATAAAATATCAATCGTTCTACATCTGCATCTGACCATGTTAAGTCTATTTCATTTGTCGAAATCCATTTGTTGTATGAAATGGATTAGCTAGATGAGGCTTTCAATTACTCCAACAATGTAATTGAATATGAAAGTGAAGCAGTGTCCAAATCGTCCGCTGATAATGTTAGTTTGAGAACGACAAAGAACAATCAAATTGTAGTTATGGAATTGTGTTATAGGCTTAGCAATACAAAACGATAGTTTTCGTAGACTTTCCTTTTCATTGCGTGTGTATGCTTGATGCCATATCACATATATGGTGCGTGGTTGCATGTGAATATTGGACCATCTAACCCTATAGACGGTGGGCTAAAATATAATGGGATGCAACTTAATTATGTTTATAATTTTATATAAAATAAAATAGATCATTTATGTTTAAATAAAACTCTTTTCTTTTGTTTGCTATTTTTTTTTCATCTTTCATCCACCAATTTGATGACCGGATTTATCATATGACTAAACTTCAATTGTTTATTTACACTAATTTATAAGAAAAAAAAATGATCATATTGATTCATATACAAAGTAGGAACTTATTACATTTGTCTCATCCAAATTAATTAGTGACTTGAAGTCAACAGATTCAATTTTGCAATATAGATGCATGCTCCTCTTCATTGTAAGGGACCACAATTTATGAACTATGTCCCAATTTCAAGGAAATGCTATATACGCATATACTTTGCATCAATTAATTGGTTAATCCATATCGGACCATATACTATCAGCAACTGTTAACTACTAGGGGCATTAAAAAAGAATCAAGTAAATTTTTTTAAGGGAATTGAAAGTGGTTAATTTATACTCCCATTGTCTTTATTTGTCTGCCCCGTTTTTTATATAAGGCCAAGGTGTTCTTAAAAGATTATTGATAATTACAAAATTATTTTCATAAAAATTAGATTTCACCACTAAAACCTATAGTAATAAAGTAGAAAGTACACATGGAGTAAAGTCAACAACTGATTAGAAACGGAGGAATTGAAATACTGCCGTTTCAAATATTACAGAATAACATTTTACCCTAAAGCAATTTATACCCAAAAGTAATTAAAAGTTCCTCTAAAACCTGATGTTTTATGTACCCGGGTGCTCTAAAAAGTTTAATGTTATTTTTCGAAGGTCAAAGTCATTCTCATTACAGAAATGCATGTGATGAATTTATAATCAAAACCCTCCTATTCTCAACCTCAATTCCTTTTACGACAAAACAGCCACACCATGTATTACACTCCCTCTCATCAGATATTCGGATTCAATAATATTGTCTATTTAAATTACATTATATGATTATCGGTTCAAAATGTATTTCACTAATATTTTTTTCAAAGTACATCAAATTCGGCCTGGACCTTTACTATAGATGATGAGGTACGAACCCGGGAGGCATGTCCATCATGCTATCTATATCTCAAGATTTTTTTCCAACGTAAAAGAACAAGTGCATGCAACAAGGCACAAGTGGTGGAATCGCTTAGTTGCCTTTTAGGTATTGTTACATATGATGATTTTATGAAAGTGGGACATCAACATGTAAGTATGTAACCGTACTCAAGATTTCATGGCCTTATTATTAGGACCTAAAATTATAAACTGAAAATCTTTTGATGATCAACCAATAAAATTGGCATCTAGTATGAGTATTTCTATTTTTGTCAAACTTTGACAGCCACATGAAACCTCAAATCCAATTGTCAATTGTCAAACATTCGTGATTGTGTTCTACCAAACTAAACCAACCACAAGTTTTTGGAGCAATTATTGACTAATTATAATACGTCTTCTTGGTTTTATAATATCCAAGCTCTTACTTTTTTTTGGTCCAAAGTTGTGTCTTATTTTAACTTTATAAAACCTACGGTAAAACCGTTTTCTCACAAGTATATATCTTAATGTACCACTTCATTTTAAAATAAACTAGTTATTGGCCCGGGTAATGTACCGGTCATTAAAAATTTATTGAAAATAGGATAGTACACCAGAGTGCACCATGTGCATGGTGCACCCGATAAATAAGAAAAAAGGCAAAAATAACATAATTTGGTTGAACAAAGAATATAACGTGTTTGACAAAGAATATACTTATGTTTGACAAAGAACATACCTATATATGTGTGATAATATGTTCTTTTATACTTATGTTCTTTAACATATATATATATATATATATATATATATATATATATATATATATATATATATATATATATATATATATATATATATATTGATTAAACATGTTTTTTGAATTTCGATAATACAAAGTATGTTCTTTGAACTTGGCTAAGATGTTCTTTGAATTTGGCTCATACGTTCCTTGAGGTAATGAGTGACGCACATATTGTATTTTTTTTTATTGTTATCATATATATTTAAATTATTTTTATTATCATATATTGTTTGAGTTTGATCAGTGTGTTGTTTAGATCTGAATTATATGTTCTTTACATTATACAAGAGTATTTCACCAAAAAAAAAAAAATTATACAAGGATAACTTATGTTCTTTTAACATATGTGATTTTGAATTTTAAAATTTGAAAATAAAATTTTGAAATATTTTTAGTTGAAAATAATTTTTGAGAGTGAAAACTAAAAATATTATGGAAAGTTGAATTTTTAGAGAGAAAAAAAAACTATTTTTGGGGAAATTATATCTTTGGTAAAAAAAAAAAAAAGAAATTAAAAAAAATAATAAATCTATTAATGTGTAATTTTTC